TATGCTTTTCAAAGTATTTAATATCTATTGTCGTAATTAAAGTGTGTTACGTCAGAAAGATTTTAAAGTCTTAGTAAATACAATTACAGATAATAAATTCTTAATTAGCAGTTTATTTTAACTTCAATGCGATAGTTAAGAGAGCGTACTTTTATATAACAAACGTAGTTAAATCGTTATGTAGCGTTAAGATGCGGTTGTTAAGTAATTATGAACATTGAAATGTGTAAAAATATGTTTTTAACGAGTTTAATTTGCGTATGTATTATAGGTTAGTTTTTTTTATTGTCCACAAAGTGATTTATTATTGTTAAATGTTAATAAATAAAGTTTAAAAACCACTTAACGTGTATTAATTGTTTGGGAAATATTCTCACCGGCGATATTTTTTGGCGGCAACTTTGCTGTCAAAATAAACAAAGATGGCCGACGTGATCGCTGTCGGAAAAGAAGTATCGAATCCATTGAACGGTCAATTAAACCGACTGATTAATTAATATGACCGTTAAATAAATAAAAATAATTTATCTCATTATTTTTTTTAATTATCTTTAAATACTGTATCGGAAATACTGTAAACCTACATTATTTAATATCTTTGTGTGAGACGAAGGCATAAAAATACAGAACAACTGCTATAAACTATCCCGAATTCCTATGAAATAAAAACGGAATTTTTAAAAAAAGAATCTTGTTTTCTTTTTTGCAAACATTACACATCCATTGGTTGCCATCATGGAACACTCCAACAAATACATTGCCGTCCCTTTTATTCTTTGTATTAAAACCGAGACAACAAAACATTGTACTGATGTTAAGACCGAGGAAACCCGCGCTAATCGTGTGTAATAAACTGGAAAGAGATTGACACTAACAACAATTTAATATGAAACCTTCTTTTATCTTTTAAGCCTGTAAAAGCTTTTATCTTTTCACTTCGACCAAATAAAGATAACGCAGATCATTCGTTACGGAGTTTCACTTACGATATGCCCATAGATTATATCGGATACGCATAACGATCGATACAAGAATAAACCCCCCAGAAAGTCGTATACTTTTATTTAAATCGATTCCCCGGAATTCGAACATTGCACATCGATACTTGACAATCGATTTATTTTATTGCGTCCGATTGTGAAAATAATCGATGTTTTTTTCTTAAATGATGGTTCCTTTTTTAAAATTTCTCTTTTCGGCCATATTTTTAGTAAAGAATTTGTGAACCTTATTTGAAGTACATTACGGAAGGATTACTCTTAGTAATTATTTTATTTACTAGCTGTTGCCCGCGACTTCGTCCGCGTGGTATTAGAAAACATACGAACTATATAAATAACAAAGAGCTACGTATCCCTCGGGAACCGGACATTTCTCAGGGATGAACCTTATTGTGTACTCCAGACTTTGTTTTATATCTGAGCCAAATTTCAATAAGATATGTTGAACCGTTGCAGAATGATCGAGTAAACATTAAAAAACTAAATTAATGAATCCCACGGGAACCGTAACTATTCCCGGGATAAAAAGTAGTCTATGTGGTCTTCAAGACTATTATCTAAACCTGTGTCAAATTTTTGAAGATCCGTTCAGCCGTTTGGGCTACAAACGTTAACAAACATCCATCCATTGTAACTTTCGCATTCGGTTATCTACATAGTTTTTTCAATGGGAAGTATTAATTAAAGTAATTAAATTAGTATCAGGAACTTTACATAGTATTGCCTTTAAAAGTTTATTTAAAAAATGTATAACACCTTGTCTTCAAGATTGTACAATTACCATTTATGTACGCGACTGTACATATAAATAGAAATTGATACTGATATAACTATTAAAGGACTGAGATGCATATTTTAGTTTTTTGTTTGTTTTTTTATTAATGAAGGCTACTGGACTTTTATGTATTTTTCTATCGGAGGTTGTTTTTATTGACTACTATGTTAGTTCCGATATTTTAATTACAAATAAGGTTGTGATCATAAAAAGGTTTTATATGCTTTGTAGAATTACGTTAAAACTTTTATATCTTTTTACTTTTACAGATTCTTGACCTTAGTTTTATTTCTTCTTTTTAAAGTAGGATAAATATATTATCTTGTAATCCCTATAATATATATAATATATTACAAGATATATATATCATCAAAATGTAAATTTTTGTTAATTTACTAACATTACCTTTAAACATTCCATCTAAGCTCTAGGCTTGTGCTAGGATATGGTTCACGACAGTCGAATGTCGGGATTCGAACCCTCGACCGCTCGGTAGTCGTACCCCAAACCATTAGGCTATTGTCAATGTTAATTGATTAATTTAGTTTAATTTACAACTTTCGACTAGTTTTTCATGTTGCAATAAAATTAGGGATTGCCATTGTTAAATTAGGATATCGATATTTTAAATTGCATAATTATTTTTAGTATTTATATGAGTATCGATGAACCGAGAACTTTAATGTAATATTTACAAATTTAACTTTACAATATTTTGTAGTGTAAACCAATGTACTAGTAAAAGTGTACTATTATTATAATTGCATAAAGATCTCGGTGAAATTTTGCGTAGGTGTAGAGGATATTCTGGACAAGCACATACCATACTTTCATTTTTATAACCACCCTTTTAATCAGAAAAAAATATCGATAAAATAATGTGCGTACATCACTATGAAATAAAGGTCTCCTGCAATACCTAATGCATGTGATGACACTCAAATTACTCGGTCGCGATGCGCCGGCGCATTTTATAGACAAATGCTTGATAGGTTTTCGTGATTGCCTACAGTTGTCGGCATTAACTGTATTTTGACTGTTGTATGATTATATAGCTATCTCGTTCATATACCTTGAAGGAAAAGGGACAGCAATATCTGGTATTTCACGGTTACATGTATGTTCTATTTTATCGATATGATTTGATAGATTTATCAGCAAGGTTGGTTTTAATTGACTGGTACATTCTGATTTGAGATTATTTTATAACGAGCTGTCGCCCGCAAACGTTAGCGCAAATTTGGACCACCTGTTACGCTATTTTGACAGCTCGGAATTAACAAAGTAACCTATAATATGCCTATCCATGTCAGCTACCTTCCAGTAAAAGTCCCATCAAAATCGGCTCATCCGTTTCGGATATTACCCGGAACAAGCGCGGCTTTTCTGTACATATTACAAACAGACACTTCAATTTCATTATATGTATAGATTAATTAAGATATAATAGTAATTGTCACGTTGTTTATTGTGTTTTTGAATGTATATTTATATGTGAAAGTCGAACATAGATTCATTATCTAGAATCTAGGTTCGCTGATCACATTAATTGTTTATTGTTTACGAAGATATTCAATTGTTTTAATTTTCTATAGACAAATGAACCTTTTATTTCTTGCTTAAAGCGTGCGCACATCTTTGACTTGATTCCTATGAGCTTAGGAGCGCACAGTATTCGATTTTTAATTGTGCAACTGAACAGTTGAATTGACAGATAAATAATCGACAATCGCAGAACAGTGCGGTAGTTTAGTCAAAGGTGTGCGCACGCTCTAAGTCTTCTATCTCTGTCATTCTGTTTAAATAAAAGAAAGATGACAAGCGACATTATACAGGGCTTACGACAATGGCTATGTATAATAAAGCCAGTTACACACGGCCAGTTTTATCTGATCCGATCATTCAGATAAAACTGGGTTTATTCTCAACCGTCACCCCGCTCTTCCCCACGTAGGGACAGATGAGAAAAAATAATCTTGTTGGAATTTATTTCATAACGGTTCCATCTGTCACCTTATTGGTGATAGTGGGACGGAAGAAACTTATTCTAACGTGGGGACAGAGTGGGGTGACGGTTGGGAATAATTCTAAAATTTTTGGTACTAAAATCCTAGTGGGTTTTAGAAACAAAAATTAACAAACCGAATTGATATTTTTTTACTATAAGTCAGAATTCTTGGAGACTTAAATTACTAGAATTAAAAGTAAAAAAAACCCATATCTCACGGTATTTCGTACTAATAGTACATGACTTGACATTATAGCTGTAAAATGGAGACCAATTAGATAGTTACTTTGTTAAGCAACGCCTTTGTTTGTCGTAGATTTTCAAACAGTAGGTGACGACGGAGATACTGTTAACAATGAACGATTAATTCATCTTTTTACTGTACTGTGGCTTTTTGTTAATTACAGTCGAGGAAGTATATTTCCTACCCTACGGTGGTAAACTTATCATATACATTGCAAGCCTTATACAACCTGCATGAAAATCTTAAATGGATACATGTAACAAGCAGGACGTTAGTTATGAGTGTGGTACACCGGTAGAGGTAGACTTAGAAAGAGAATGGATTGCGTGAAAGGTGACATGATCAAGGGAGTGACTGAGATGACGTATGATAGCGTTATTTGGAGGACGAAAACCCGGTGCACTGACACTACGGGAGTAATGAGGTAGGGAAGATGATGATGATGGTGAAATGCAGTTGTAAACTTGTTAGGGCATACATAAGTGCAGCTGTTATAAGCTGTACTATATTCGATCCTAAACGGTAAGCGAATTTAATTCTCTGACTACGTAGAAGTGATAAAATGATAGTGGTATGACAAAACGTTAACGACCGAATACTGAAACGTTATTTAAATATGGGACAGCGTCTTTTGAGGCCAAGCTAAAAGTTCTTACAAATTTTGAAGTCCAGGATTGTAAGCGCTTACGAAGCGAAGCATTTAAGTAAATAATAGAAAAAAATAGCCTGTTACTCACTGATAAAGTTGATTTTTATTGTGAAAAAATTTTTGAAATGGGCCCAGTAGTTTTTTAGTTATTTTAATACATACAAAAATTTCCTCTTTATAATATTAGTATAGATTTGTTTCATATAACCGTAAGGTTTATAAAATCTTGGGACCACCCACGTGAGTGGGATAGGGCCAGAGTTCTAATGCGGGAATGAGTATAAGAAGATTGTTTTAGTGTTTTAATACTTATTATAATTTACCTTTTTCATTAAATACTCCATTCTGTATCACACCTGTAAAAAAAACTGTCTGTTAATCAAAAAGCCGTAATAATATTAACATACTCCACGCTCACTTTATTACGGTCTGTACATTTTCATTGATGAAATGGCATGTATTTTGTTGAAAGTATTGTGTCCATTGTCCATCATCAATACCAGCTCCTTTTACGTCCACCCTAATTTAGGGTAGACTCCGAGCCCCTCGGTGGGGACATACAGTGAAGGGGGTTGGAGTCTTAACACTCTCAACACTGCGGGTTGACTATATATCTTTGAATTTCTTTACCTATATGTTCATTACGTTTTCCTTCACCGTAAGAAAGTCGGCTAAATTATGTACATATGAAATTCATAAATCACGTTGGTACATGCCGGGATTCGAACCCAGGACCTGTAGATGACAAGTCAAATAAACTCCTGACCCATCGACGCTTCCGATGTTTTTAAAGAATTTTTTAAAAGTTTGATTTGTTTAGAATTTTATCAGTGTTAAATAAAAAATAACCTCATATATAAGATCATAATATTCTACATTACTTGTTTCTTTTATAATTATTAAATAATAACCGTATTTTATTTCTATTTTATTAAATAACATTTCTTATACAATCTGCAAAGGAGATTGATTTCCTTTTAAAAGTCAACCACAGATAATTTAGTAAGCTCGGCATCCTTGCACATTTTTATTCGAGTAAACTACCGCACAACTGTTTAGTCTCGCTTTGATTTATGAGCTTATATGGACACTACTCGATTTTTAGATGTGCAACTAAACAGTTGAAGGCTGCGAAACAATCGACAATCGCAAAACAGTTGTGCGATTGTTTAGTCAAAGTTTGCACACGCTCTTAGTTTACTCCTAAAACAATAATAAAATGTTGATAATTTTATCTATAACCTAAAATACTATATTACTGCAACATTCTACACCTAAAATGAAGTATTCGCAAATCGTTTAAACGCAAATTGAATCAGTAATTTAATTAATTTGAACATTCGACTGTTATTTACGAGCAAAACCGTTCAGAATTCTATTTTTTTAATTAACACCTCAAATAATATGAGAATCAAACGGCTTCTGTTTATTAAACTTTGACTATAAAGTAACGGACTAGGCAAGGAACCAAAGCTAAACTAACTAGCTGTTGTTCGCAACACACATGTCGTTGAATTTAGAGTAATATTGACGCTTCAGGTCCTGTCATTTAAAGTCAATGTTAGTAAATAATAAAAGCGAAAGACACGTATTTGAATGAGATTTCAACATACGAAAAATATGATATTTTAAACAGACGATAGCTTAGTTTGTACAATTACGGTTTTGCGGTTATAGGTTTCTAACCTTTTTGACCGATTTTCCGCTTTAACATCTTAGCACGAATGGGCCGGCACGCCCGGTGTAATACCACGATCACACAGAAGACAGGGGTGAAATGGAAGCAATTCCATGTTTCGTCTGATGAGTGTGGTGCCGGAGGGCTAATTTAAGTCCCTTTCTCTTTACAACCCTTTTCTTGTAAGAAAAGGATGGGAAGGGGAAGTGGATTTGTCAGTGGAGGAGATACATAGGAAGGGAAAATATCATCTTTATGTGCATCTTATCCTCTGTCTATGGGCAGCGGTCGCTTCGCCATTTTGGAGGAATAAGGTGGCCGCTTGTTCGTTTGCCACCATTTGATATAAAAAAAGGTACTCAATTTGTCTGTATGTTTTTTATTATCTATGTTTTTAGAGAAAAGAAGTTATTTTATATAACTAGTCAAAATCTACTCTAATCAAGCTTTTAATTTTAATATATGATAAGCAATTTTATTAATATTACTAATATTATAAATGCGAAAGTTTAGATGGATGTTTGTTAGAGTCTGTAGCCTAAATTCAATAAAACTTGGCATTGATGTACAGGATAGTCTGGAAGAACACATAGGCTACTTGCATTTGTTTTTTTAGTTTCGCGCAGACGGAGTCGCGGGCGAAAGCTAGTTTGTTAATATTTTAAAAAACTATAAAAACATTTATTGGGAAAATCTTTAAAGAGGTTTTGTGTTTTAGATTGTGTGTGTGTGTCTAAAGATAAATTATATATTGGACTGTAAATAAATTTATGTTACTATGAAAATAAATTGAAAACACACGTCGTTCGTACGTATTCTGTTGATATGCCAAGTTCGTGAATTCCATTTGTTGGCGTGTCGAGATACGTTTTAAACGTTCGGTTTTCATTGCTACAAGAACATGACATTGCTAACTGAATATTTAAAATATATGTTAGAGGAGTGGAAGACCACTTTATTAATATACATTATACTGCTTACATTGTCTTTATAAAACTGACGTATTAGTAGACGCTTATAACACACTTGTTCCGTTCCATCGCTTGAAATACTGCGCGATTAAAAAACGTCGCGTTTAAAAAGCGCTGCGGTATCAGAATACATGAATGCATGTTCTAATTGAGCGTTAAAAAAGCGCTCGTTCGATTTTGAAGTATGTATATGCACCAATATTATAATAAACGGAACATGTAATTAAGTCACAAATTCGAATGCGTTTGACTTGTGAACCATTTTCTTTGTCAAATTTAATATGAAAATTATTTTTTTATTTACTGAAATTAGACAAATATTTTATAAGCAGAGCCGAAGTAGTAAGTGTGTAATTGTTTATTGTTCATAATCATAATAAATGTTGTTATTAATGTTTCAACAATTAAAATTAATATGTTGTGTTAATTTTTAAACTAATTTTATTCTAAAAATGTTTGTTAGTTGTCATATATCGTAAACGTTCGGTGAAATCGAATACATTTTTAGTAGATATTATCTATACTAATATTATAAAAAAGAAGGATTTGTATTTTTGTATTTTTGTATGTATTGAAATAACTAAAAAACTACTGAGCCAATTTTAAAAATTCCTTCACTTTAGAAAGGTAATTTATCTGTGAGTATTATATTTTAATTTCACATGGGCAAAGTCGCGTCCAACAGCTAGTAAATCGTATAATTTACTTTTAACCTGTGTTGATAATCCGAGAATGTTAAAGTCGGGTTTCGAACCGCGACCTCTGAATAAAGTGTTTTGTATCACTATTGGATCTTATTTACGATTTAAATCTTCAATAAAAATATTCTTATTGACACTTATGCTGTTTTATTACACCTTTTGTGTGAATTAATAATAAAATATTTACTTTTAAAACTCAACAAAAAAGTAAAGGTCACGTAGTTTAGAAAAGATATTAAGATGTTTTTATTTTTATTGCTGAATGACTCTAAGACGAATGTACTTTTGTACAAAAAAAACTAAATATTTAGTCTGTGGAAAAGAAAATTGACTATTAAAATAAAATAAATTCAAAACCATAAACTCTAATACTTCTGTTGAAGTTTATTGCGAATTCCTGGCCGCAGAACGTCAAGGTTAGAAAAAGAAAAAAGCGCGGGATAAAAAGAAAAAAAGCCTCACGTTTGCAATGAACTCCTTTCGTCACAACACAACACTTCACAATACACACATGCGCTCGCACGTTATTTCAAATGGCAACTGAACGAGGAATGCACATCTTGCCATTTTATAGTTGGTCGTATTTCTAAGATCCGTTGTGAAACATTGGGATGTACAGTGGGGGATGTTTCCGGGTACTGGATACATTTTTGGGCTTTATTGAACTGGTCGGTGTGAAAGGCCGCTTTGCCGCCCTTCTGGACGTCATTCTGACAGTTGTTTTTTTTTTAAATCTGATTATAATAGTCAAAGATAAGTGTGTATCCAGCCAGTTGCTTTTGGTAACATGTTGAAGTCACTTAAAACGTAAATTAGAAATAATTAATTAAATAAGCGTAGCCAGAAACGTCATATTTAAGCTGGCATCATCATTATTAGCCTATCTTAAGTTAGGGGTGACTAGACCATCAACAACGCTGCACTGCGGGTTGACATACTTATCTTCACACATATCTTTAAATTTATTCGCTGATATGTGCAGGCATTACGATGTTTTGCTTTACCGTAAGTAATCGTAAAAATCTAAAATCACATTGGTACATGCGGGATTTGAACCCAGGATCTGCACATTGCAAGTCAAGTGCTCAAACCTCTGAGGTATCGGCGCTCTACGACATACAACCGGCATAGGCATTCTAAGAAATAAATCCAAAAAAAGATATGGGAGCTTTGTTTTTTTAAATCGCTGGTTATGCCTGATTTTCAATGGATTTTTGGTTCGAATTATCTTGTTTATTCCCTTTATTATGCTTTCTTTTCTTTTATTATCCCGAAACACATTTATTACTAATTCAGGAGACAGAATTCCACTAATGTTGTAAAAATTGCTCATGATTTAATATATTTTTCTTATGTGGTTTTTTTTTAATTCAATTAATTTATCAACAACAGTATTAGTGGTTATCGAAACAGGCATTTTCAATCTTACTATGAATTTGTACCATTTTGTAGATCCCTGTCAATTTTAGCATTAAAACTAATGATTTGCTGATGATCTATTGGTTAGTGGAAAGGAATATTAATGATGAAAATAACACTCCTTCATACATAACTCTTGTAAAGGTTGTGTTACACTGAGTGTATTTTAAGGTTACAAAATTATAACTGTACTCACAGACATAGTATAGCATCTGCCATAGACTTTCGTCTAAGCTAAAAGGGCAGATCTACAAGTCCATCATAAGACCTGTTGCATTGTATGGATCTGAATTTTAGGCCACCAAAGTTGCATGTGGCTTGGATGCGTATGTTTTATTCTTTGGTGTGAAAAGAATGGATAAAGTTAAGAATGTGTATATTAAAGGAAGTTTGAAAGTAGCGTCAGAGGTGGAGAAATTGAGAAACAAAAGGTTAGCATGGACATGTTATGCGACGAAGGGATGACATAAACCAGAAAGTGTTAAGATGGTATGTGGATGACCAAAAGGTGAAAGAGGATATGCTTAAGAAGGGAGTGAATTCAGATAGGAATGGAAGAGTAGTACATACTGTGCCGACCCTTTGTAGGTTCAAGGGCAAATTGATGATGGTCTGTCATAGACATCCGTAATAACAAGAGTTTGTAGTTTTATGTCCGTGTTTGCCTACGCCTGTGGCTTACGGGCGTGTTCACGTGTCATACACGATATCATAGTGTGTGAACCCACCCTTACGTGTGCAGAGCAGTGGCAAGAGGTACACAGAGTAGCGCTAATCAGTGTCGCAACTAGGAATTAGGTTCGTTAGTATTGAGTTTATTCTGTGCGTTTCGCGCACTGGAGATAAATGAAGCGTCAAATAATATTTGCGAAATTCCGACTTGCATTATATTGTAGTTCTTGACAATATGTAGTTTGTATTCCATTTGCGAAATTAGTTGAAATATTTCTAAATTCAGAAACAATGTAAAAGTTTAACTAGCATGATATATTTAGATTTCTTCGTCTTATTTCATTGTTTAAGATACTGGGCTATACAAATTTTGCCCTGACTGACTTACTGATGGATGTTTGTAGACTAAAATGCTGAGCGGATCCTGAAACTTAACTTAGTTGTAGAGTATACTGGAAGAACACATAGGCTACTTACTTTTTTTATTTCAAACGGTTAAAGTCGCGAGCGAAAGCTAGTATTTTAATATTATAGTTAAACTCCGATATCTGACTTTGGTAACAGACACTGCTATTGTATTCTGTCTGAAAACATTTAAAACCAGTACGAAGAGTGTAGTACGAAAAGGGTCTTGCGACACTTTTTAGCAAGAGGGCGCTAGTGAGCTGTCATAATTTAATTTGACTTTAGTGCCGGGTCAAATAACATTGTAGGTATATAATATAATTGGTTCTTTCCCGCGTGATTTTGGAATATTTTTTATTTTATTTTTTTGCAACATCATTAGTGGCCAGTAATAAATACCTTGACTACCAAAGAGGTTGAAAATAACTCATTAAGTGGAGTCTTGTAAGGGCAATATGAGCTTCATAATATCTAATTTTTATTCATATGGCCTTAGTATAGAGGAAGCGTCTATTACATTCAATTATACTTAATAAATCTTAATAATACGATGGATTGTTCACTAATAATGACAATTGAAGCAGGTGTGAATACAATGTGGGTTATGTTAATAACGCCCCCTAGCGGGGAGATTGTTCATAGGAAGTGTTAATGTCAAGAACAAATGCCAAGGTTGACATTCACATGGTAAACCTGACTAGAATTGTACGGAAAGATGTACTTTTTTTTTATAACTATATCGACCGAATACAATTTGCTTTATAAACGTCTACAATCTGATAGGAGTCGATATTTTAATGGAATTTAGAGTTTAAGCGTGGCATTCCTTGTCTTTTAAAAAGTTGTTACATATTTAAAAGTGTTTTTATTAGGGCGTAACATAATTTATACAACAGCGCCATCTATTGACTCGAAAATAAAAAAAGTTAATTGTATACAATCCAATTAAAAAACGCTCTTACATATTTAAAGGTGACTTTGTTTGAGCGTTCCGAATATTATGAGGTTTTAAAATTAATTAAATTTTTACGATAGCGCCATCTATTGATTCGGAAACGAAAAAGTTAATTATATATAGTAATTAGAAAAATATAAGAAACCTCTCATATAATCTGTTTTTTGCACAGATAATAAATCATAACATTTCTAACAATATCGGTTAGTTGTTGCCATTAAATAGTTTCTTTTTATTACTTTATTATATTAATAATTCATATTCATATTTTTACCAACATTTACATATTTTAAACATTACATAGAGATTCGTTTCGGTGTATTTTTTTAAATAGTTTTAGAAAGTTTTCAGTACTTAAAGATTTGGCGCGAACATTGACACTAAACAATTTTTAGGTTAACATCAAATAGATTTTGGCGCCAATTGTTCATATCTGTCATAGACAAGCGTTTAAAGACAATGAAAGATTTTTAACATGAAAATTAGGTTATGTTTGTCTTTGTTTATTTATTTTTTTAATACATCATTTACAGATATTTGTAACCTATAAATTTCGAATATATGATTCATAACTGAAACCATCTTTAACATTTAGTGTTCATTTAAACACAATACTAGATAAATCATTTAAACATTTCGCCTACGACGAATTTTGTAATGAAACGCTCAGTTTTGGTATTAACAAATTCAATTCTTGGTCGTTAAGTGGGAAGAATGAATGAAGTGAACTCAAAGAAAACATTAATAAGTTATTTAGCTTATCTTTGTACTTTAAGGGCCTGTAATACCAACATTAAGGAAGCAATTGCAATTGAGAATTTGACAAATGTAAACAATGAAATAAAGTTTTTAAAATTCCATGTGGACGAAGCCGCACGGGCACAGCTAGTATATGATAAGTCTGTTTAATATATTTCTAGTTCTAAAACAATGTATGACATAACATTATCTTTATAGTTCTGTAGAACCTAGCTTAGAATAAACCAATTTAGTATTATGTTAGGTTTTTGTTAGGCGGCGGGTCGAGGACGCAATGTGGACGATGTTATGCAACACGTGATAATTACGTTTAAATTAAAATTCAGAAGACACGTTCATTTTTGCAGACAGAAAAACTTAAGGATCTTACCATGAACCGTTTATTACAATTAAAAAATAATATGTTGTTCTGTACTGGCTTAGGGGGATTAATAGGTTTATCTAAGACTGTGATATTCGCAAACATATGGGGCAAACTTATACCGCAGGGCGCAAACTTATACCCCCCTTCTCGACAGCGGCCTGCGCGAGCATCCAACCTCGCCCTACACTTACTTCTGCACAGTAAAAGTTATTATCTATGTTATGTAAAATCAAATCGTGAAAATTAGAGTTAACAAGTATTATAATTTAGCTACGAAAGTCTATTCAGATAAATTATTCTTGCCATTATCGCGCATAATACCATCCTCTCAATACGTATTCAAGTTATATAATATTATAAATTAAATAGCCATTTGTCATGGCTCCCTATTACATTATGTCATCCACTCGCTGATTAGACCGCTATTGAAGGTAACATAGTCTTATAGTGCGTAATGTACGCACTTGTGTAGAAGTTTATGATATAATTTTGGTATAAAACAGAACAGAATTCAGCACGAAAATTTGGATGAAAGTATACTTACGGTGAAGGAATATATTGTGATCACGAAACTGTGTGAAAATATGTGTTAAGTCAATCCACATTGGGTCAGCATCTATGGCCTAGTCACCCCTAATAGGCTTTCCATCAGTGGGGACAAAATCAATACTAATATAAAGAGGAAAGATTTGTATTTTTGTATGTATTGAAATAACTCAAAAACTACTGGACCAATTTCGAAAATACCTTCAGCATTAAAAAGCTATTAGTGAGTAACATAGGATATGTTTTTATTGTTTTTTTTTTAATTCTTGCGGTTGAAGTTGCAAGCAACATCGTTTATAAATCTTCAATACACATTAATAATTATTCAGAATAATTAGAATCATCTGCCATAAGTAGCTTCAAAAATATGTAATAAAAATCCTTCAATCTATCAACAAAACCAAGGCGTGTAGAGAACGTAT